AGACACTTTAGCAATATAATATATATATTTGAGTTTTCTAATGTTTCTTTACCTATTCTCTGGCAGATAGTTCATTAAGAAAACAGAAATCATTAGCGGATGTTGCATTCTTGAGGTGTGACCATCTCTATTCACAAAATGTGAGAAAGGTAATTTATCATGTTCCGACGTTTACACAAAGTAAGTATTGGAGAATAGGGTTTGTTTTCTTCTGTTTCTTTACCTATTCTCTACCAGGTAAGTCATTAAGAAAACAGAAAGTCCTATGCGGATGTTACTTTGGGTCACATCCGCACTTTGGGTCACATGCCGATGTGTCCTTGAGCAAGACACTTTAGCAATGTAATATATATATTTTAGTTTTCTTCTGTTTCTTTACCTATTCTCTGGCAGATAGTTCATTAAGAAAACAGAAATCATTGGCGGATGTTGCATTCTTGAGGTGTGACCATCTCTATTCACAAAATGTGAGAAAGGTAATTTATCATGTTCCGACGTTTACACAAAGTAAGTATTGGAGAATAGGGTTTGTTTTCTTCTGTTTCTTTACCTATTCTCTACCAGGTAAGGCATTAAGAAAACAGAAAGTCCTATGCGGATGTGACTTTGGGTAACATGCCGCACTTTGGGTCACATGCCGATGTGTCTTGAGCAAGACACTTTAGCAATATAATATATATATTTGAGTTTTCTAATGTTTCTTTACCTATTCTCTGGCAGATAGTTCATTAAGAAAACAGAAATCATTAGCGGATGTTGCATTCTTGAGGTGTGACCATCTCTATTCACAAAATGTGAGAAAGGTAATTTATCATGTTCCGACGTTTACACAAAGTAAGTATTGGAGAATAGGGTTTGTTTTCTTCTGTTTCTTTACCTATTCTCTACCAGGTAAGGCATTAAGAAAACAGAAAGTCCTATGCGGATGTGACCTTGGGCCACATGCCGATGTGTCCTTGAGCAAGACACTTTAGCACAAATCGCTCCCGTAGGCATGTCTACGGTATTGAAGTGTTTGTAATGTAATATGTTCCAAATGTTCAACTGGAGGAACAACAACCTTTTTTTATTGCGGAAAAAGGAAGGTTAGTTTCAGTAGACACATCAAGTGTACTGCTGTTTGCATATTGAGGGGGTTGGAGAATAGGGTTTGTTTCTTCTGTTTCTTTACCTATTCTCTACCAGGTAAGGCATTAAGAAAACAGAAAGTCCTATGCGGATGTGACTTTGGGTCACATGCCGATGTGTCCTTGAGCAAGACACTTTAGCACAAATCGCTCCCGTAGGCATGTCTACGGTATTGAAGTGTTTGTACATTAATATGTTTCAAATGTTCATCTCTACTCACAAAATGTGAGACAGGGTATTTATCATTTTCCGACGTTTACACAAAGTAAGTATTGGAGAATAGGGTTTGTTTTCTTCTGTTTCTTTACCTATTCTCTACCAGGAAAGGCATTAAGAAAACAGAAAGTCCTATACGCATGTTACTTTGGGTCACATCCGCACTTTGGGTCACATGCCGATGTGTCCTTGAGCAAGACACTTTAGCAATATAATATATATATTTGAGTTTTCTTCTGTTTCTTTACCTATTCTCTGGCAGATAGTTCATTAAGAAAACAGAAATCATTGGCGGATGTTGCATTCTTGAGGTGTGACCATCTCTATTCACAAAATGTGAGAAAGGTAATTTATCATGTTCCGACGTTTACACAAAGTAAGTATTGGAGAATAGGGTTTGTTTTCTTCTGTTTCTTTACCTATTCTCTACCAGGTAAGTCATTAAGAAAACAGAAAGTCCTATGCGGATGTGACTTTGGGTCACATGCCGATGTGTCCTTGAGCAAGACACTTTAGCACAAATCGCTCCCGTAGGCATGTCTACGGTATTGAAGTGTTTGTAAGTTGCTTTGGATAAAAGCGTCAGTTAAATGACATGTAATAATGTAATGTGGAAGAAGACCCAGAAGACTCACAATGACCCTATCCTCTCACACGGACGTTAACACAGTATGATAAGTATTGGAGAATAAGGTTTGTTTTCCCCCGTTTCTATTACTTATTCTCCAACAGGTCGGTCACTAAGAAAACAGAAATGGTTGGCGGATGTGTCTCAGGTGGTCAACGTGTTTTTTTGTTTTGCAAAAGTAAAGTGAAATGTCACGTTTGTCTCTGTTTTCTATCTATCCTATATTTGCCCTCTCTCTCACTACTTTCCAGATCTTATTCCTATCTTTGCTGGACCTCGATGCGTTCTGGAGTTGGCTGAGGTTTCTCCACTTTTTTCCTGTTAAAGGGTTTTGTGGAGTTTTTCCTTCTGCAACTTTTTAGATCTTTTTGTACAATTTTGAAATACAATTCAAATATAAAATTCTAATTCTTTGTCTTTCTTTACTTTGAAATGTGTGTGTTCAGCTTTCAACACTGTATACTGTATTTAACTTATTCAGTTGGAAAAACACAATTTGGTTGCCAGTTAATTGAAACTACTGCTAAAAGTCTTGGAACTGGAGTTTATACATACCCCAAACCTGGCACGAGATGTCAGTATCTTTCAGCACATTGTCAAGTTATTGCCTCATAGAGCTTTACTCTTGCATAGATATGGAAATCACACATGCAGCCAGATTAAAAGGCTGCATGTCGTCAGCAGCGTGTCCAGACATGCAGAGTGAAATAAGTGGTGCTGTCTCAGGGATTCCATTTCCGTGCGTTAAGTGTGTGTGCTCCAGAAAGGAAAGCATAGAAGAAGAACGACACTTGGATCTTTTTTTTCACTCAATGTTTTTCGTATTTTATTGCAGAGTGTTTATACACAGCATTTCAAGTGAAAGTGTAACCATGGTTTCATGTTCAGCTCACCACATTATATCTATGCAGCGATGTTTCCCTGTGTTTTCCGTTGTACCATGAGAGGAGCAGATGGTTCAGCTGAGACCTTTTATTATTATCCACAAACTTTTCATATAAAGTACAATGCACAGAGTTCAGAGTGAATGCTGAACCCTGCTCTCCTCTCAGCACACAGCATCTCCTTGAAAACATATTTCAGCTTTGACCACATCTTTCATTTATTTTATAACAATTCACAGAATAGCCTCTTTTCTCTCAGACAAGTTTCTACAGAAATTACAAAAATATTACATCAAATGAACCGCACTAATCATGCACACTGTAGTCTACAGTACTCAGTACCTGGCAGCTGAAAAGGGCATTTACACATTTTCTGCAGAACTTCCTGCACGTCCTTCAAAATAGATTATTACAATTTTTAAAAAGGTCTTTATCTTTTTGTCTTTTTACATTTTACAAACAGCTCCTCTGAGATAAATACTTCCTTTGTCTGTTTTGCACGAGTCATTCATTTCAGCATTAGAAACGTATAATGTCGAGTAAAGTGCAAGATGTCCGAGCTTTGCAAATAAATATTTTGCCAAAATAAAAAAGTGAAATGTAACGAACAGTTGTACTCGATATAACCGCACCTGTGAATGTGACATTTGTGAGTCCTCTGAGAAGTAGGAGGTGACTGTAACAAGAGGGAGGGATGGCTAAAACCACAGTACCGTCCCTTTTAAATGAAAGGCACATCACATCGGATAGAAAACCTTACTCATTCCTACTCAACACAAACGTGTCAAACGTGCAGCTGCATTCGCCTCTTTGTTTGAGGATCTCCTGGGATTCTTTGAAACTGGATTAGAGAACAAATCAAACTTTGTCATCCTAAACAACTGAAATTCACAGCTTAAATAAATGAAAAATAGTCACGTCACAGATGCAAAAACTCACAAGCAAAACGTTTCCCTTAGGACTAACGCGAAAATGTTTCCATTCAGTGTAGACGCGGCGGCACTGAATTTAAATGTCCTTTTCCTTGTCAAGTGAAATACATCAGTTGCATTAAAAAACTAAAACGCTATCACGGCTGCGGCTTCATCACTCAGACACATCAGGCAACATTAGCAGCTGGCAAAAACAGGGGTCTGTGACTGGTGGAACACAACTCTGTGAAGTGAGGCGAAGGCAGGCGGCAGGACAGAGATGTCGATTTGAATGATTGTCGCAGTGTTTCCACGGAAATGACGACAGGCGGCGGGAAGGTCACATTTATCCATCTGGAGAATCGCTAAGTCCTAAAGCGAGAGCTTCCTCTGGGGTCAGACCGTTCTTCAGAGTGCGCCTCACTGTGAGGAGAGACAAAATACATGATCTATGATTACGTTTATAACGTCAACAGCATGTATACAATTGCTAATTACGTTAGCTATTAGCGTTCATGTTTCCCGGTGATATAGACAATGTGTGAATGCATCTGATTGCATTGTGGTAAATTCAGAGTCAAGTGTGTTTGGAGCTTCACCCATACTGTGCCACACCATATCTCTGCATCACCTTTGATCTTTCTTTTTTTAAACCCTCAACAACAAGTACGCCAACTGTATAAGAAAAAATGACTTGGTTGCTGGAAAAACCATATCATAATGAAATAGTAAAACAATGACTTACTAACGACACAACACTAAATCAGACATGTTGAGATAAGGTGAGACCCGGTGAGATCCGGTGAGATCCGGTTTCGTATTTGTATTTTGTGTCTCTACTACGACATGTTTCCATGCTTTAATGTTACTGTTTAAAAGACATGATGCAACTGTAACTCCTTAACAGAACTTCATTGTAAAAGTGATCCACAGATTGTATTCTAGCATTAATGAAAGCAGCTTTCTGTGTGATCACCGAAGCTAGCCCTGTTGAGGATGAGTATCTGTTTCAGTTTATGGACAGAGGTTCAGGTACAGGTCTTACAGGACTTGCGGTTGGCTCTGGACCTCCTCCTCTCTCTGGGCTGGGCTGGACCCTGCGTGGCCGACCTCACTATCCGCTCCATGATCTCGTCTGCGTCTGCGTCGTCGTCTCCCCCGATCGGAGTGTCCTCCACAGGCGGAGTCCTTGAAGGCATAATGCGACCTGAAAAAATTGAGAATATTGACAAAGGTTTAAAAAAACAAGACCGATTTAGTGACTCTGGTTTTGACTTTGGTCTCCTCTGTGTGATCATATCAGGAACTTCCTGCATTGAGAATCAGAAGTCCTTTATTCATCACATATTCATTCATATACATCTGTGGTGTCCAAACTACGGCCCGGGGGGCCAAATGCGACCCGCAGCCCATTTAGAAACGGCCCTCAGCTAATTCCAAAAGTATAATGAAATATGGCTCACAACATGAAACTTGTGCTTGTCATATATTGTACTTCTTAAATATATATGTAACCTAGACCCTCCAGAAAAACGCGATTCTGTGATCGCAGAATTTACCGCATAATCAGCAAAATGGTATAGCTGCCAACAAAATAAATGAAACCCTATGGAGAGCTGTGATGTAGCTGTTTCATTTTCAAGTATCAAGCATTATTTAGCTACATTTGATTGATTTAGCTAACTTATAACTGAACTGATACACCTCACCTCTAGTGAACGGCCCAGCCCTTCGTATATTTTTCTGTATGTGGCCCTCAGTGAAAAAAGCTTGGACACCCCTGATATACATTATATCATCATCGTCGTACCTCCTCTTCCGGGCCGGGATCTCGTCCGTGTGCGCAGCCCCGGCACGGCGCTGGCCTCCTTGTCCCCCCCGCTGAGGGTGGTCCTCAGCATGGCCTTCATGTGCTCGTGCTCTGCAGCGTCCTCAGTGTGGCCCAGACCCTGTGGCTGCTCACACTCCTGACTGCCACTGGGGGCGCTGGTGGTGCTGCTGCTGGAGCCATACCGAGCACACTGGGGGCGGGGAGACAGAATACAAGAGAATAACTAATCAGCAGCTTGTATTTACTATTTGACTCAAACAAGCCAAGACTGAAAATCAAGGTGCACAGACCCATTCAGCAACAATGAATATTCAGCAACTACTCTTCCTTTGACGGTTCTTGAAATGAATTGTAATTGTATGGTTGTACTTATAAAGGTGCTGATATGTTGATTCATGCTTTGATCCGTCCTTATTATTATTATTAGTGCGATCGATAAGATGTAATGTATTGATGTATGTTGATTGTTGTGTGTGTACCTCTCAACGGACTGCAGAGAGAAAAAGCTAAATCTGGCATAAATCATCGCTTGTCTTTCCTCTTTTTCAATTAAAAACCTAATAATAATAAAAGAGGTTAAACATCCAACCTGTAGAGAAAAGGAACAGCCTGGAGAAGTCTAGAAAAGGTTAGTGGTTTCATGCACGCACGCACGCACGCACGCACGCACGCACGCACGCACGCACGCACGCACGCACGCACGCACACACACACACACACACACACACACACACACACACACACACACACACACACACACACACACACACACACACACATGCTCTGCACATTTAATCAAAGCTTTAGAGTGCTGAGTTTGTTTGGCTTTGTATATGTATCTCTGTTTCTTCTTGAATTAAACCAAAAAAACATGCTTATTTTATTTTAAATGTGTTTGGTTTGGCCTTTCCTTTCTCTACATACACATGAAAAGTATCTACATTTTATTTGTATAAAATAGTTATACATTGGAAAGCACTTGTATCACGTCAATCAAGGTCAAATTAAATTACTATAAACCCTATAAACCCATACCAGATTATTATGAGTTTATTGAGATTTGATATTTATTAAATCATACAAGGAAACAGACAGCTTTGCTACATAATGGCTCGCTGATAAGTCAAAGCCTGTTGAGGATCCCTTTAAGAGTTCAAAATGAACACTGCACGCAAACTACTAATCATTTATAATGCTTTAGGAAGGATTCTGTCTGAGCTTATAGATCCATGAGAGCAGTTTTAGTTTGATCTCATCACAACAGCACTGTCCCGTGTTGACACAGACCTTCTGGATTGTCTCGTAGTCCATCTTGAAGGCCCAGAGCTGGAGTCTGGCAGAGAGCTCGCTGATGGAAGACAGAGTGAGGAGGAACTGCTCAGCCGAGCCCAGCGGGACGTCAGGATTGGCCAGCTGGGCCTCCTGGATCTTCTGCTTCTCCTCCTCTGTGGGGATCATCGTCAGGATTTTCTGAGAGCAACGACATAGAAGAATATGAGAGGACAGCAGGATACGAGTGAAAAAGATCTAGGATTCCTTTCCTGTTAAACACCTGAACTAAGAACATCCGTAACATTCACCTGTTTACAACTTACAAATGATGTACCACTTGTATAAAGACTCCTATGGCACTACTTCTATTCTATTTGATTGTATTTACTTGCACTGTGTTATTGTGCTGTACTGTTGGAGGAGCCTGTGACCTAAGATTTCCATCGACATAACTAAACTGTAGCTATGTACGAATCTTGAAAAATAGTCTGTATCTCTCACCTCAATGCCCTCCTTGTTTAGCGCATATTCATCAAAGTTAAGGATGGCTGTCTTGATGGTGCGAGGAGGAGGAAGCACCGTCAGACCGATGTTGATGGCGTTACTCCTCTTGGAATCCAAAACGATTATCTCAGTCCGCTTCCCATCTGCTGCTGTTTTCTAGGACATAAAAAGACAGAGAGGGTCAATGCCGGGTCTCTCCCTCTCCCTCCCTCCCTCCTTCCCTCTCTCTCTCTCTCTCTGTCTCTTCTGTCAGTGTGGTCTGCGTTATGGGCTTGTAAGGATTAAAGGGATAATCACTCAGGTTACATTGACTGCAGCTGTGGCAACTATATGTTGAGTAGGAACAGGAAATACCTTGCAGTATGTGTGTTTGTGTGGGTGTCTGCAGCCATATTGTCACTGTATGTGAACAGATTACCTCACCAGCACTTTATGAGCTATAAATGGAAGGAAGTCGTAATATATCAGCACATAAAAGTGTAACAGAGTAGCTGCTAAGACCTGGTTACTGCCACGAGGTAATAATATCCTTTCCATATGCCGACTGGAAGACTTACTTTACACCATCACTCTGGCACAATGTGTTATATCTTACAGTTTGCTGTTAAGTGTAAGACTACCTCACACTTTTTATGATGCATTTTCTTGTCTACCACTGAGGAGTTGTATCTGCCATTTTTGAAGTCTTTGTACTAAGATACGTAATGAAATACCAATTTAATCATTTCTACATAATGTTACACAAAAACTATTAGATGCATGGTCAAATCTTGTATTCGCTTTACGCCATGTTTTTGGAGGAAGCATTATATTTGGGGTTGGGGAAGTTCTGTACAGTTGAACCTGCATAGATGAACAGTTTTTAAAGCAAAAACATGCTATTATTATATGAGACTTATGCTTTCTGTGGTCAGAAAACAGCCGTCTCATCTGAGCTCATCAACCTACTCTGTTTCACTCACATATTTGTCACGCTCTGAGCTTTTACTTCAGACCAAACAATATGGATATACACACGCAGATAGATAAAAAGGAGCACATTTAGAAAACTAGTAAAGACAGGGTTTATGCAGGAATCCTGAAGTCAAATGTAATTCCTTTTAAGACCCTTTCCATACATTTTAAGACCTCATCGCCACTTTGAGTTCTAACCGGTTGCCTTGGCGACACACTTTACCTCACATTGACTATATACAATATTGATTGTCCTTCCTCCTTATTTTCAAACCATTTGGACGCAGACTTGCATTTCCCCATAACGATGTTGTTTAGCAACCGGCGTAAACGGAGCTTCGCGCGCTATCAAGCAGTGAGCGTGTGATGTCCTGTTCAGATGACGTCAAATCCAACGGGATGCCATAAATAAAGTACCGGTACACAGAATCACACTACAAACCTACGCAATGATTACATTCAGGCAGACTGTAGAATACAAGCTCTTTGTATATACTTATTGAAAACAAGCTACAAAATGTAATACCTTGGAAAATGCTGTTTAATACTTTTTAATAGCCTTAATTTTCGCTAAATTGATTTCTCAACTTTTAATACTTTGAAGACCCCGCGGACACCCTGTAGTAAAGACCGATGGATGTATACCTGAAGAATACACACAATTATACCAATAGCGAAGATGAAAACCAGCATGAAGTTGGTTTGAACCTTGCAATCTCTAATCTAAAATATCTAAAGCACATACTTAACATTCTGATGGGTTAGGTAAGAAAACCATAGAACCTAAAGAAGGGAACAAAGGAGAGTCTGCCAAAGCAATAATAAAGAACTATCAGAAGAGGTGGCTCTGACCTCCGATGGCTTTGATTTTCTGGTGGTCCTGTAAACCCTGGATTCTCTCATTTACTGACAGCTTTGCGTGAGCTGTTTCGAGTGTCTAGCTGCAGACCACCATCACCCCGTCACAAATATGTGCAGGCCAGAAGTCGACGGAGGCGAGCCACTTACTGCTACGGCTCTAACAGACGCTGTGGCTTTGAAGCAGCAGCTCAGGAGTTCAAAGTGTGAGAGGCCAGCTCCTCATCTTTGCACTCCATACTTTTCTTATTTAGAGGCTTTGTGAGAATTATGAAGGGTTCAAAACTCCCATGTTTGATCATGATCAGAACACAAGCGACCTAGTTTAACCGTGAAATCTTTCAACGACTTTCATGTGCTGGAGATAATGGACTCAAAACCCATTGACTTTGTGGCTGGCATTGGCAAAGTGTTTTTGATAAAGATGAGTTTCTACATTTTAGAATTACAAAAATGTCAGATTTATCATGTTAGAATCAGCTTTGGGGAACACTGACCGACAGACAAATTACACATGTATTGCATTAATTAGGAAATGTGTCTGAAGACCATGAAGTTTCAATTGTATGTAATGTGTGATGATTTTGATGAATATTAGATTTCTACTACATATAATATTTACTTGATATATCTATAGAAATACTACTAGTACTACTATTACTACCACTACCACTACTACTACTACACTATTACTACCACTACCACTACTACTAGACTACTGCTGGTACTACTACTGTACCACTGCTACAACTACTACTACATTACATGTCACTTGTTAGACGCTTTTATCCAAAGCGACTTACATACTCAATACTGTGGGCAATCCCCACAGGAGCAATTTGGGGTGAAGTGTCTCAGGGACACAACGACATGCTGACTGCAGTGGGGTTTGAACCTGTGACCCCCTGATCCCAACACCAACTCTCAACCCACTGCACCACACACATCACAGTACTGATGTTTATTATTATTAACATGAGATTAATATTTCCTTTTTCAAATATCAAGGTTATCGTCTGGTACATCGTGACAACCGTAGTGTGTTGTAAAATGAATAAAAGAACAAACAGCACTTCCGTTAGATGCCAATGTGATAAATAGTCGGTCAAGGCTTACGTTCAGTATCTAACAGTGAGACTATTAGCACTTGTTGTTTACCTTTGTAACTGGCATTTCCTTTGATTTTGTCTCGAACAGGTGTTCCAGTTTGGCGGTGTCCATTTTCACTGGATCCAGTTTGGACCAGAACGAATCTCCGCTCCGCTTGTAGTCCCTGTACTGAGGGTCTGTGGGGCGCACCTGATCACAGAGAAAACACTGCATGAAGTACGGAGAGACAAACAACAACAAATATTTCCTCCGTGTTGACTGGCACTAAAACATGCCGTCTTATAAGTTCTCTTAATCTGTGGGAACTCCTGTCCAACCAAAAAGACAGGTCCAACATTTCTGACAAAGCAAACACGGCACTCTGACTTAAATTCTCCCTGCACCCAGAGGAAGTGATAGCTGTCTGATTGGCCTGACCTTTTTAAAGAGTTTTCCTTAGCGTACTATTTTTTGTGGTTGGGCTCACGGGGGTTTTGTTTTTCTTTACAATTCATTATATTTTAGGAAAGTAGTTGTATGTCATGTTTCTAAAGACAACATATTGGCTGTATCCCAGAAGCTACAAATATCACAATCACAAAGCTGGTATCTATGAACTAAAAACAAGTATCATAATAATAATAATAATAATAATTGTGTAACGTAAAAATGATCTCATATGGAAGACTTAAATTGAATTTCTTTTTAAAATATCCTGGCTTTGACTATTGATAAATTAATTTGTTTTATTAGATCTAAAATGGTAAGACTTAAGATCTATCAGAACAAACGGCATTTTTCCTGTTATACTAAATATAGTCTTTGGGCATTTTGTGTGACCCTCGATCTCCACTGATCATCCTTTGTATAGATGATGTGTAACACTGGATGATAACATTGATCTGACTGATGTTACTGGTGTTCTCTCCTCGACTCACCTCGCTCCAGAAGAGCCGGATTGTCTTTTTCTTCTTGTTGAAGAGCGGCGGCTCCGAGGGAGGAAGCGCTGGATTTGTGGCACCGAAGCAAGGAGGATGAGGAGGCCTCATGCTCCCCAGCAAG